AGGAGTACACAGTTTTACTTTACAGGACCACTGAAATACAGGAGTACACAGTTTTACTTTACAGGACCACTGAAATACAGGAGTACACAGTTTTACTTTACAGTACCACTGAAATACAAGAGTACACACTGTTACCTTCCAGTACCACTGAAATACAAGAGTACACACTGTTACTTTACAGTACCACTGAAATACAAGAGTACACACTGTTACCTTCCAGTACCACTAAAATACAAGAGTACACACTGTTACTTTACAGTACCACTGAAATACAGGAGTACACAGTTTTACTTTACAGTACCACTGAAATACAAGAGTACACACTGTTACTTTACAGGACCACTAAAATACAAGAGTACACACTGTTACTTTACAGGACCACTAAAATACAAGAGTACACAGTTTTACTTTAAATGGACCCACAATTATTTGTACATTAGACTTTATTTGATAAACATTTATTTTAAAATAAAGACTGTAAAAATACTGTAGGATGTTTAGTTTAGTAAATTTTTAAAAATATATTTTAACACGGTTATCCTCGCACCGAGGACCTATCCACGTCATCATTTACCCAGAATGCTTTGTGAGGAAATAAAATGGCTCTGTCCGTGTTAAAATATATTTTTAAACTTTTAGTGTAAAAACTATAACAACTACACTTCGTACAGTATTTTTCCAGTTTTTCCAGTTAAAATAAATGTTTATGAAGTAAAGTCTATGGTTGAACCAGAGCTCTAAGTACAAAGTACAGAAAGAAATCCTACCTGTGAGTCGTAGTAGTAACATCCTGAGTATCCGTCCTGTCTCACACACTTGGCCCACAGCCCGTCGTACACGCTGATGTTCTTGGCGTTACGGTTGAAGGTGACGAGTCTGGTGATGCGCCACTGTGGGACGAACGTGGCCACAACCAGCCCACCCACACACACAAAGGCAACGATGAGGGCGAAGGCGTTGGTGGCGTGGATGTCCCGACACGACATGATGGCAGCTCAGGCTGCTGGGAGGGTTTCTGCTCCTGAGTAAAAATAAACAATTAGAAAGTGTCAGCTGATGATGGTTAATGAGAAGCGACTGGGACTGCCCTCATTACTACTGAAGCTGACCCAGCTATGCTAACCCTCCCACAGTTCAGCACAGTGCAGCTGGGCCACAGAGACAACACCTCATTTATGACTGTGACTGAAGCAGACCATCACCGACTGTACAACTCAACAATGAGCATACAGTTAGCTTTGAGCTAACGTAGCATGACAGACAGCTGGAACACAGCTGTATTTACTCTTAGAGAAAACAACTGTTTTAATGTTTTTAATTCAATGAGTTCATTACATTCAGCTGGTTCTTCTAGCTTCAGCTGACAGTTTATTTAAATCCTATTAAGTTTGTTTAAAGCACAAATGTAGGTTTTGGAAAGTTTTAAGTATTTTCAGAATATATATTGCTTTAATACTAAATAAAACTAGCATTAGGAATATAATTTTTAAACTAAATTTGATCTATTTCACAGTTTGAGTACTTGACCTGTTATTTTTAGTTATTACCACCTGACTGTAGAGCTCATTTATTAAAACTGAACATGACAACCAGCATTTTCTACTGTAAGTCTACGTAACATAACTATTGTGATACATTAGTTTACATTTGTGTGATTGTAATTTCCATATTCATTTGCTTTTCTTGCCGTACGAGTTTGTTTATTATATTATACAGTGTTTCATGGAGTCCACTGCTTCTTGTCATTGTTTTAAATTAGAATAAGATCAAACTATTGATCCCACAGTGGGAAGATTTACACATCACTGCAGCTCAAAACAGGACAGGGTGAGATAAAGAAAGATAAGTAAAACAAAAACATTATACTCGTGATACATAACAATGTACATATACCTAGTACAGTACAGTAGCATTACAGTACAGTAATACCATAAGTTCTCAATCAAACAATTAGATAATAAATAAAACTCAAAACTAAATGAAATGCTCTTTAGGTTGAAGAGATGTTAGATTTAAAAGGTAAAATACATAAATTTTTAATGTTAAAAGATTCGTAATTAAATATTAATTAATGTTAATCACTAGAGATAAACATATTTGTCATTTTTCTTTAACATCTAACACAGTTAGTTATATTTCAACAAAACTCTTATAAAACTTTATACTTTAAAATGCCTGTTGTTACAGTAAATAATAATAAAATAACCAAGTGATTATAATGAGGAAAACCAATTGGTAAACACTAAAACAACTTATTACTACTAGGCAATAATAACCAAACATAATTGTACATGAGTAGGTAGTTTAAGTTGGTTTAGTGGGAATAAAAAYAATCCCAGTTGTGATAATGATAATCTCTCTCAGCTATAATCACCAGTGTGTCAATAAACGGAGCTAACTCGGCTAATTATCGATAATTTACTACTTTCTAACTGCCTTTACTAACTTTACAATCATATTTTGTATCCTCATTGACTAGATAAAGCTGTAACAGTAGGCCAGCTGTGTTTATAAAACTCTTTTAACCTTTTTTAAGATAACTAGTTAGCCAGCTAGCCGATGGCTAAAGTTAGCATACAGTACCTGTTGAATTCCGATCATTTAAGTTGAAGTACAAACAGATAGTTTAAGTTAAATACCTTATATTTATGGACTTCCGCCGAGCTTCAGAGCAAACTTGGTGACATTTCCGTCCAATTATCTCCCTTACATTCTTTAAAGGTGGAAACAAACAAACGACTTTTACAGTAGATCGAAGCGTAAACAGGACGTAGCCTCTGATGTTGGGTTGTCTCCGCCCTCAGCGCTGTCTCGTAGGGTTCGGTTGTCTCTGCCCTCAGCGCTGTCTCGAAGGGTTGGGTTGTCTCTGCCCTCAGCGCTGTCTCGAAGGGTTGGGTTGTCTCTGCCCTCAGCGCTGTCTCGAAGGGTTGGGTTGTCTCTGCCCTCAGCACTGTCTCGTAGGGTTGGGTTGTCTCTGCCCTCAGCGCTGTCTCGTAGGGTTGGGTTGTCTCTGCCCTCAGCGCTGTTTCGTAGGGTTGGGTTGTCTCTGCCCTCAGCGCTGTCTC